AAAAAAGAAAATGAAAAAAAAAAAAAAAACAACCCAAAAAAAACCTCACTGCTGTCAAATCTACCTGATATAAATGTTTGCCTTATAAAGTCAACCTAACTGAATTGTGGCTCATAGTGACCCCTCCTTGGGTTTCCAAGGCCGTATCTCTACAGAAGTAGATTGCTCATTCTTCCTTCCCAGGAGTGGCTGGTGGGTTTGAACTGCCAACCTTCTGGTAAGCAGTCAAACGCCTTAGGCACTATGCTACCAGAGCTCCCATTCACCCTATACATCTGTCTATTGTTTGTCTGGAAGCCACAGGAATGGATTCAGTTCCAGACCTGAAGGGTAATTAGAGGCCATAGTCTTGGCTCTATCAGACCAGCAAAACTGTGTCTTTTTAATGATTTCTTTAAGCTTCTCAATTATTTGGCAGAACTCTATAATTCATTTGCATAACAAGAATTGTTCATTGTGTATTAATTTTGTTAATGATATCTTCTGAATATGAATGATTTTTCTTTTCGTGCTGTCAAATCTATCTTTTGTCTCTGGTTTTGGGTTTTCTTTCATGTCTAAAGAATGTGATTTAGTGATATAGATAAAAGGGGAGGCCATATATAATAATTTGAAACTACATACAGGAAAGTTTGAAGAAAGGTAAGGATGAAAACATCCCTGCATTTTGACTAAAGTAAAAGTATACCCTATTGGGCCTGTTCCTAGAGGAGCAGGAAAAGGTGAAGTTCAAAAATGCAGGGAGAGAAGTTAGCTTTGAAAATAGGGAGAAGCACATCTACAACTTGGAAAGATGCAGAGAAGCCAGTCCATGTGGAAAAATTAAAAGATCATATTGTACCTCAGTATTCGTTGAGGTGGGAGAAAAAAGTATTCATAGCTGCAAGGATAGGAATTATTGACATTATTGACATTGACATAGTTGTTGTTATATGTCGGACCCGACTCATAGTGACCCCTCCTTGGGTTTCCCAGGCAGTATCACTACGGAAGTAGATTGCCCAACTTTCCTTCTGAGGAGTGGCTGGTGGGTTTGAACCACCAGCCTTCTGGTTAGCAGTCAAGTGCCTTATGCACTATGCTACCAGAGCTCCTTTGACAACTGTAGGCCTTAGATAAGAAATATCTAAGGATCAAAAGTACCCACTCACCCTCACCAACTCTTAGTGACCCATTAGGACAGGGTAGAACTGCCCTGTAAGGTTTCCAATGCTGTGAATATTTATGGAACCAGATTGCTTCATCTTTCTCCCATGGAGCGGCTGGGTGGTTTGAACCACCCACCTTTTGGTTAGCAGGTGAATATTTCTAACAACTTAACATGATGTGAACATATCTATTTTTATTGGGAACAATGTCATGGGCCTTGATAATATTGTTGTGATTTGTTTCCTAAATTCATAACTAAAAGGACTATTAAATTTCATGGAAGGTTAACAAATTAGTTTTTATATCCATCATGGATCCTCTAAATCCTATCCAGGACATCTTGGGGATCTATGGAAGATAAGAATGACCTATAAGGGGGGAGTGGGAGAAACAAATCATCCCAAATGGTTAACAATTCTCTGTACTTATTTTGTAAAAATAGATATTTACATTTATATTGTATAGGTAGATATGAAGCAACATAATATTCTGATTCTCTGATCTCTCTGCTTCCATCTAGGTTTTTTGCTTTCTCAAGCCTCCTCTTGCCTTCGGAAGCACCTTTATTTTAACTTGTCTGCCATCAAAGAAAAGGAGCAGTTAACAATGGTCCAGCTGCACCTGGACTTGGGGCCCAATGCTTACGACAACCTGGGACCAGAACTAGAATTGGCTCTGTCTCTAGTTCAGGAGCCTCATGTGGGAGCTGGATCCCTCCCTAAGCCAGGTAAAATGTTTGCATTTCGGTCAGTGCCATGGCCCCAAGGTGCCCTTCACTTCAACCTGCTGCATGTAGCTAAGAATTGGAATAACAACTCCCAGAAGAACTTGAGTTTATTTCTGGAAATCCTGGTCAAGGGACACAGAGACACTAAGGTGAATTTTCAGGTTGAGGAGGATGTCTGTGCTCAACTGAGATGCCACCTTCATGCTTCCCTGCTGGTGGTGACCCTCAACACTGAGAAGTGCCACCCTTCATCCCGAAAAAAGAGGTCAGCCACCCCTGATCCCAAGGCTTCTTGCAAGAATCTCTGCCATCGTCATCAGCTGTTCGTCAGCTTCCAGGACCTGGGTTGGCACAAGTGGATCATTGCCCCTAAGGGGTTCATGGCAAACTACTGCCATGGAGAATGTCCTTTCTCACTGACCACCTCTCTCAACAGCTCCAATTATGCTTTCATGCAAGCTCTAATGAGTACAGCCGACCCAGAAGTACCCCAGGCTGTCTGTATCCCCACCAAGCTGTCTCCCATCTCCATACTCTATTATGACAATGATGACAATGTCATTCTACGACATTACGAGGACATGGTGGTTGATGAGTGTGGGTGTGGGTAGGCTGCCAGAAATAGTAATAGAAGTGTTTTTTAGAATAGATCTTCTAATAAAATTATCTTATTTGGTTTATAACCTCTTGGATTTAAAATGTCAATTTACTTACATTTACAGTTTTTAGTTGAAAATCCAAGGTTGAGATAGAGAATGTTATTAATGGTGCCCATAATTGAACACAAAGGTACACATATACATCCTGGAGAATTAAGACAAAAAAAAAAAAAAACCTCATTGCCATTGAGTGAATTTTGACTCATAGCAACCCCCATTGGGTTTCCAAGGCTGTAAATCTTTACAGAAGCAGACTGCCTCGTCTTTTTTCCATGGAGCAATTGGAGATTTGAACCACCAACCTTTTGGTTACCAACCAAATGCCTTCCCTTCTAAGCCACCAGAGTTCCTTAGAGATTTAAGAAAACCAAAAACCAAATTCAATGCTGTCGAGTCAATTCTGACTCATAGGGACCCCCATTGGGTTTCTAAGGTGGTAAATCTTTACAGAATTAGATTGTCCAGTCTTGTTTCTGGGGAGTGGCTAGTGAGTTTGAACTACCAACCTTCTGGTTGGCACTCAAGATGCCTTAGGCACTGTGCTACCAGAGCTCCTTAGACTAAAGAGAAGGCACAAATCCTGCCCTAGAGTAGCTTATTGTTAAATTTTTCTTTCCCAAATTGGTTAAGGCCTTATTTTTGCTGCTTTTAAAATAAAAATGGGCCATAAATACCAAGACACTAAGGATTACTCAAAGATTATTTTCCCATCTCTTTGTTATGTGCTTGTAAATGGAATACTTGGAGCCCATGCTCATTTAAAAGGAGTCCTGGTAGCGCAAACTGTTAAGTACTGACTGCTAAACTAAAGATGGCTCACTCCACAGAAGATCTGGAAATCTCCCATAAAAATTACAGCCAAGACAACCCTGTGGGGCAGTTCTAGTCTGTCACTTGGGGTCAACCCAACCACACCTAATAACATTAAAATCTGAACCTGAAGACTTTTGAAAAGAGTTTTGACTGACAAGCATCTGCCTCAATAGGAGAGGGGCTTATCACAATTGATAAGGGTAGAAACAATTGGCAACAATTACAAACTCAAACATTCCATTATTTCAAGTGGGTTTAATAGGCAAATAGATTCTTATCCCTGTCTCTCTTTTTTTGTTTAACAACATTAAATGTCAAGCCAAGACAAAAATGTTTTTTGGACAAAAATCTTTCACAGAAATTTTACAATCATTTTTAATGTCTCATTAATGTGATACTTTCTGAAAAAGATACACATAGGCTTCCAGCAAAAAAAAAGACTTGGTATATGGGCTGAACATTTACATCCTTACATTACAAGATAAACTCCTTGGAGAGATCGATCATGGAAGAATAGAAGCGGCATGTATGAACAGGGAGACCACTCTGGAAGCAGGAGTGCATGGGAGGGAAGGACACAGGGAAGAGGTAACTATGGGGAGGAAGTGGGAAGAGAGCTGTTACACTGTGGGAAATTGCAGTCAATGTTATGAGACAAACGTATTATTCTGTGAGTGCTATGTGAGCATTAGGTTCCTAAAGGGGTAATTGTCCTAGGCCTCCTGAAAAAAAAAGGTGAACAGCTGTGAGGGAGACTATGATAATTACTTTATAAACAGAATGCAAATAGAAAATGAAGCAAGGAGTGAATCCAATCTATTTAAGAAAGAAGGGCTGTTTTTCATATGAATATTTAAAGATTTTAATAGATGAAGAAAGGGGCTTGCCCTTAGGGAACTTTAGCATAGAGAAAAGCCAGAGCAGAGGCAGGAAATAGGTGGAAGAAATTGAAAAGTTGCGGAGTTTTAGAAATTTATTTTGGCTGTGCCAATAATGCTTTTTAATATTTTCAGTATTGTGTTTTAGCTGAAAGTGTACATTGCAAATTAGATTCCCATTTGAAAATTTTAAGTTCCATGATATTGGTTAAAATTTTGACAATGTGTCAGCATTCTCATTATTTCCATTCTGTTTTTTTTTTTTTCTGTTGATCTAGCTTCCCTGCCCCTCCTTGCCTTCTCATCTTTGCTTCTGGGTAAATGTTGACCAACTGATCTCGCACATAACAACAACAACAACAATTAATTGTTTAAGGGAGCACATTACTCACGGGTAATATTGTTTACAAGCCATTCTATTTGGCTGAAAGGTGACCTCCAGGAGTGCCTTTAGTTTCAAGTTCTAAGGGTGTCTTAGGGCAATAGTGTTGCCAGTTCCTCTAGTTTCTATCAGTTCAGTAAGTCTGGCCTTTTTTTTTTTAGGAATTTTAATTTTGTTCTGGATTTTTGTGGTGTTATAACTGGAACCTAATCAGGTTGCTTTTCTGGGCCCTGTTGATTGAAGTAAGGAGAACAAATCTATTAAAACATAAATAGTTCCTTATATTTGTGGAGGATCAAGAACCCTGTTAGTTGTCTTCAAATTGACTTTGACTCATGATGAACACGTGTGCAGAGCAGAACTGCTCCACTGGGTTTTTAAGGCTGTGATCTTTCAGAAGCAGAGCACTCAGCCTATCTTCAGAGGTGCCTGTTGGTGGGTTCGAATCATCAGCCTTGCAGCTAGTGCTTAACCACTTGCACCACCAGAGACTCCTTTGACATATAAGGAAACATATTTACAGGTCCTGGAGATTACATAGATATCTTTGGGGAAAACATTCTGCCTACCATAGCTGCCTCACTTGGAAACACTTGGCCACTGAAAGACCTTTATATATGATGTGGGACTTCTGTTCTTACAAAACTCACCTGCCACTGTTCGTGCAACTGTTCCGTTTCATGCAAGCTCCAGCTTGACATTCACAACTAAGGAAACTCTTGTGCTTAGCACTCAGGTTTAGGACTTTTGGTGACTTGAGTTCCAAAGTTCAGGGCCTCTAGTTTGAGAATTTAGAGGAGTCTTAGGCCTTGAGAGAATGAACTTCATTATGAGACAGGGTGCCTAGACTCAGGAATCTGAGGCTTGAACTTGACCCAGGGTTCAGGGAATAGAGGGTAATGACTTTAGCATTCACCTTAAAAACCACAAATCAAACCCACTGCCATCGAGTTGATTCTGACTCATAGCAACACCTATTGGATTTCTGAAGTGGTAAATCTTTACAGAAATAGATTGCCCCATCTTCCTTCTGGGGAGTGGCTGGTGGGTTTGAACTGCCAACCTTCTGATTAGCAATCAGATGCCTTAGGCACTGCGCCACCAGAGCTTCTTATAGCATTCACCTCAAACTCCAAAAACTCACTGCCATCCAGTCAGTTCGACTCATAGCGACCCCTCCTTGGATTTCCGAGGCAATATCACTACAGAAGTAGATTGCCCCATCTTCCTTCCGAGGAGTGGCTAGTGGGTTTGAACCACCAGCCTTCTGGTTAGCAGTCAGTTGCCTTAGGCACTATGCTACCAGAGCTCCCAGCATTCATGTTGTTATTGTTGTTGTTGTATGCCATTGAGTCGAACCCAGAGCATTCACGTTAGGGGGATTAAAAAAACAGAAGTGGACTTGGCCATACACTTAACCTTCAGGAAGAAAAGAACCAAAGACCTGCACACCAACTACCTGACTCAGAGGCCAAGGTCCTGATTTTACATCTAACAGTTCTCCTCCCCTTTACAATTGTGATTTGGGGCAAAGAGCAAAATAAGACAAAGTTGGAGATAAATGACTAATAGCTTAAGGGCAAGGCTGGAGTGTCCTGTCCAGGTAACACTGAAGATCTTTATGTTACAGTAGTAGGTCAATTCTCTCTTTTGTTCTCTCCAATAAAGAAAGATGGGTTAGTCTTACCATAACTTTAATGTAAGGGGAAGAGAAGTTAAGAAATTCACATGTCATCACAGAATAGTTTTGGAATTTGCAATACCCACCTGTGGTGGTTAAGTTTGTGTGTCAACTTGGCTGGGTCTGGTTGAGTGACTGGGCAGCTGAATGTAGTTTATTCCTCATGGTGAGATTGATAATTAACTCTATGGTGGATTCTATTGGAGCAGCTGAATAGCTGCTTTGGGTATGGGGTCTGCTTCCCGTATGTAAAAAACAGCTTTGGGAATGGTCTCTAGCTTATGGCATGCCGAACCCTGCATGTAGCCATGTCATTGTTCAGCAGTCTACCATGTTCTGCCAACCTTGGGAACTTTAAAGGACTTGAATCAATGGCCTGTCCTGTGGTTTGGTAACTTTGGGACTATTCCTTTTTACTTGTCAACCTTGGACTTGTCAGCCTCAGTAGCCAGCAGCTGTCTGAGTGAAGAAAAGCCTCTAGCTTCAGTAGCTGGGAGCTGGAGGCAGAGTTGAAGCCCAAGGTTGAGGGGCTTCCACCCAGCCCCTAGAGCCCGGGACTTTGAACTCAGACTTAAAGCCTCCAAACTGTGAGAGAATAAACTCCTGTTTGTTAAAGCTATCCCATTTGTGGTGTATTCCTGTCAGAGTAACACTAGGTAACCAGAACACCCCCTATAATCTGTGCTTCAGGACTAATATTACTTGCATCCTAGACTTTCTTATCAAGCCAGTCATGCAAATCTCCAGGCTGCTAATTTCCCTCTCATATGCTACCTGTTTACATGGTCCAAATACCCAGTAACTTCCTGCAACTCAGGAGTGAGTCATTTGCCCAAGTAGGTGGCAGTGGGCACACTGGAGGAAACAAAGTTCAGGCATGTTGCTGGCAGGAGCAGTCAGCACAATCCATGACACTCCAGGGTAAGCAGCCCAGAGACAGAGAACTATGACTCCTGAGAAAGGTAAAATGGACTGGGGGCTAACAAACTCTATAATCAGGGAGAGTGCTACAATTGTGTGTTTGTGTGTGTGTTCATGGGTGTGTTTCTCGTGCATTTTCCAGCTTTCCTCTTACTGATTAATATTATCCTTAAGCAAAATTATTATCAGTTATTCACATCCCCAAATGATTTTTGATGCTATGTCAGTGCTTGTTTCACCATCATAAAAAAAAGTAAAAATGCTATTTTTAAATAGCAGATTAAAAAAACAACAGATGAGATAACATATTGTGTGCTGCAGAGTTGATTCAAACTCATAGCAACACTATAGAAGAGAGTAGAATTGCTCCATAGGTTTTCTTAGGCTGTAGACTTTACAGCGGGAGCTCCAGAAGCATAACTGCTAACCAGAAGGCTGGTGGTTCAAACCCACCAGCCACTCCTCAGAAGGCAAGTTGGGCAATTTACTTAGGTAGTGATACCGCCTCAGAAACCTGAGGAGGGGTCTCTATGACCTGGGTCCAACTCAACCTGCACGTAACAACAGACTTTAGAGCAGATTGCCAGGTCTTTTCACCTGCAGAGCTGTTGGTAGGACCTTTCAGTTAGTAGCCAAGTGTTTAATCATGTGCCACCAGGACTCCTTACAGAAAACTTCAGGATATGATTAATTGATAAATCAGTTGTTTAGTGTTAGAGAAATTCGTGAGACTGAGAACATTTCAGGCTGCGGAAGGAAATAATTTTCAAATGTGATGGGATTTGAGCTGTCTCCAAAAGAAGAGTAAGATTTCAATCAGCAAAGAGGAGGCAGAGATTTCAGGTTGATTCAATTCCTAGATAAAAAGAATTTGAGAGAATTTAAAGAGATTTGAGCAAAGTGGTTAGGCTACAGAAGCGTTTATGGAAATAATCTGCATTAAGATTACAATACAAATTTGAAGTGATTTTAGAGAGTCTTGAATACCAGGAAAAGAATGAGTTTTTTTTCTTTTTTGTAACAGAAAACCATTGGCTAATTTGTGAGTAGCATAGAGATATGACTAAAATAGTGTTTTAGGCACATTTGTCAGGCATTTGATGGGTTTGGCTAAATAAACAAAAACTAGAAGTAGACCAGTTAGAAGACTATTGCAACAATGTGGACAGGATGTTTTAGGAGGTAATAAAGATACCAGCTTTGGGTTTAAGTAATAACATTCTTTTTCTTCCTATATTATTGCAGGAGCTCTGGTAGCATAGTGACTAAGGCACTTGACTGCTAGCCAGAAGGTTGGTGGTTCAAATCCACCAGCCACTCCTTGGAAGGAAGATGGGGGAATCTACTTCCGTAGTGATACTGCCTCGAAAACCCAAGGAAGGATCACTATGAGTTGGGTCCGACTCGACAGTACATAACAACAATATTATTCCATTAAAATTCTTTAATGGGTGGAGTGTTGGGAAAAGACCTAAAACACATTATTTAGTTGAATTATCTGGGTGCTTCCCTGGACCTTCTTCTGAAAGTGGTGTGTCTCATCCTTCCAACTGTCCTGAGTCATGTGCCTTGTGTCCCAGGTGTTGTCTTGATCAGTCTAAACACTGCGCATTATCTTCCTCTCCATTTTCCTTCAAGGGAATTGTTCTCCCATCATCAGTTTGACCATCTTCTCCAGGTATGGCTTCTGCTTCAGCAAGGGCCCATCTAGCTTGTTTGACGGTTGCAATTAGGGTTAAAGTCTGAAAGGTGCCCATTCCAAGGTGTCAGCCATCTCTTTCCTCCTCCAGCTCAATACTCAACATTCCCTTCTTCTTTTCAGGACCAGAGTTATTCTTCTTTTCAGGAGCAGAGATTTATTCTTTGGGACACATTTAGGAAAGTGTTTCCTGACCCTGCCCTCTTTCATGATATCTAGCTAATTTCTCTGTTTAGACCTTCACACCAGCTAGAAATCCTCTCTCATCCACCACATTCTTTTGCACTAACTACAGACAGAGGACTAGAGAGGGGAAGAGACTATGTATGCCTTGGATAAGGCATTTTCCGTTTAGGAGGAAGTATCTACTAGGTACTTGTATTTTTCTTGATACAAAAACAACTTCTAAGAGTTAAAGTTTGGAGTAAATCTTCTACCTGTATCTCCCCATAACCACCTCAACTTCAAAGGTAGAAGTGATTTTGTGTTTCTTCTGACCCAGTGGGAAGTTGTATTAGTTTTCTCTAAATACCACAAGTGGGTGGCTTTAACAAACAGAAATTTATTTTCTCACACTTTAGAAGGCTAGATGTCTGAATTCAGGGTGACAGCTCTAGGGCAAGGCTCTTTCTTGGTGGAGGTCCTCGTCTCTTCAGCTTTTTCTTGGTTCCTTGAAAATCTCCATGTGATGGGTCATCTCTCTTTCCCCAACTTTGCTTGCTTATCCTAATCTGCTCTTCTTACTGTTGTTTGTTGTTGTTATGTGCCACTGAGTGACTCATAGCGACCCCTCCTTGGGTTTCCCAGGCAGTGTCACTACGGAAGTAGATTGTCCCATTTTCCTTCCAAGGAGTGGCTGGTGGGTTTGAACTGCCAGCCTTCTGTTTAGCAGTCAAGTGCCTTAGGCACTACATAACCTACACTGATACATAACAAAGAAAACCCAAATGGGATTATTCCCACAGGTATAATTCCCAAATGGAATTATAACCACAGGTATAAGAGTAACGATTTACAAGACATATTTTTGGGAGACACAATTCAATCCATAACAAGGAAAAGCTAGGGGAACATTATGTTTTCTGTCTCAAACTTCATGGATCTTCACTTTCTTAGAAAAGAGGGGTTGGTCCTTTGATTTAAGGGACTTCTCTACTCCCTTCCCAGACAAACTTTAGCTTCCAAATAAAACCAAAAAACTAAATCCGTTGCCATTGAGTAGATTTATACTCGTAGTGATCCTATAGGACAGAGAGTAGTACTGCCCTATAGGGTTTCCAAGCCTGCAAAGCTATGGAAACAGACAGCTACATCTTTCTCCCGTGAAGCAGCTGATGCATTCAAACCACCAGCCTTCTGGTTAGCATCCAAGTGCTTTAACCATTGCCCTACCTGGTCTCCTTAGCTTATAAATAACCAGGGACAAATCCTTATAATATAAAACAAAGGATTAGAAGTTCTGTTCTCTAAGTTTGGGAAATGTGTCATAAAGATCCTGAGGGGAGCGAGTAGTTGAACCTGTGAGCTTGGGACCATGGTCGCTGGAGATATCAAGCTCAATTGGTATGACATACCACACAAAAACATTGTTTTACATCCTACTTTGGTGATGTATTGGGGCACTAAAAGCTCGCAAGTGGCCATCTAGATGCAACAATGGGGCTCTCCTCATCCCAAGCAAAGAAGAATGAAGAAAACCAAAGATGTGTGGAAACAGTCCAGGAGTCTAGTAGATTATGCAATCCTCAGCCTATATGACCATGAGTCCAGAACTAGATGATGCGTGGCTACCACTGTCAACCACTCAGAAAGAGATCAGTGCAGGAGATCCTGGATAGAGTGGGAAAACAATGTAGAACAAAACTCAAAATCGTAAAAAAGAAAGACCAGGTGTGCTGATCTGATGGAGCCTTGTGAGACCACTGAGACTATGGCTCCTAGTCACCCTTCAGGTCTGCAACTGAACTCACTCCTGTGGCTTCCAGTCAAACAGTATACAGGCCAATGGGGTGAATATTTACATCAGGTAGATACACTCCTTGGAGCTATCAATCATGGAAGAACAAAAAGGCAGTGTTTGCACAGGGAGATAGCTGAGGTGGGGTGTTGAGTTCTTGGGAGGAAAGGAAACAGGGAAGAGGTAACTATGGGGAGGAAGTAGGAAGAAAGCTATTACATTGTGGGGAATTACAGTCAGTGTCATGAGACAAAATGTGTATGAAATGCTGTATGGAAAATGAATGGTGGTGAATGGTGGTCCAATACAATTAATCCAGGAGAAAATCTTCTAACTCCACTTTCTGATTTGGGTTACATGTTTGGAAGAATAAAGCACTATGCTTAGCAACTTACATCTATTTGAGTGTTATTTGATATAATCATCTCTTTGTCAACAGGTCCTTCAACCGGAGATGCCACTTTGAGGTAAGAATGATACTATCATAGCATACATTTAACTCAACCAAGAACAAGTGGTTACTTAGAGCTGTAAAACTGTGTTGTTGTTGTTGTTGTTCTGTGTCAAGCTGTTTCTGACTCATAGCCACTCTATAGGACAGAGTAGAATTGCCCTAGGTTATATATAATCTTTATAATTTATAACCTAGGTTCACTAGGTTGTAATCTTTACAAGAGCAGATTATCAGATCTTTTCTCCCATGGAGTAGTTGGTGGATTCAAACCACAGATCTTGTCTGTTAGCAATAGAGCGCTTAATCATCATGCCACCAGGCTCCTTGCAAGACTACAGCTTTTCTTACTGTTCTTCTCATTTGGTGTACTCCTCTTTCTTTTTGCCTTTTTCAAATTTTTCTCTATGATTATCCCTTCCTTTATCTTTTATGTTTTTCAATTTTCTGTTTAAATAAATTCTCTTCTATCTTGCTTCTATGCTATTGACTTACTATTGTGCTTCTCTCTTTAATCACGTTTTATAGCCATTAGTGAAATACCTAGGGAACTCATTTTTTTATTTTGATTTCATCTTCCTATTTTCCTATCTGGGAGCTCTGGTAGCGTAGTGCCTAAGGCACTTGACTGCTAACCAGAAGGGTGGTGGTTCAAACCCACCAGCCACTCCTCGGAAGCAAGATGGGGCAATCTACTTCTGTAGTGATACTGCCTCGTAAACCCAAGGAGGGGTCGCTGTGAGTCGGGTCTGACTTGACGGCACATAACAACAACGTTTTCCTATCTACCCATTTTCCCAACATGTTATTATGACATGGAGGTCATTACTGAAGATTATACATAGCGTCTTGTGGTAAGTGGAAGGATTTATCTATGTAATAAATGGATGTGTTGCTTTAGGGATGAGTGAGACCATTAGGATGCAACAAGCTTATGACTCAATCACATTACAAAGAACTCGGCACAATCCTGAGTGTCCCCAGAGTCACAGCTTTGAGACACGAAGAGTGATAAATCTGAAGATGCCATCAAGAGTAATTTGAGTTTCTTTCTTGTGAGAAATTAGTAAACAGGACTCTAATGTGGAAGAATTCTGAGGCTAACTTACTCTCTTCTCAGACTTGAAAATAGAATCTTGTTGCTGATTGAGGTTTCAACACCTGAGAAAATGTGCTTAGAATCCATTGGCAATAGTAAAGATTAAGTACTGATGCTCTTTTTAAAAACTATCCATTGTGTGGCACAGTGCATAAAGCATTTGAGTCCTAACCAGAAAGTTGGCGGTTGAAACTCACTAGCCGGTCTGTGGAAGGAAGAGGGGGATCTACTTCTGTAAAGATTTACTGCCTCAGAAACCCTATTGGGGTTGCTATGAGTCAGAATCGAAGCAATGGCAGTGAGTTTGGGTTTTTTTTGGTTTATATAGGATCAAAAAGACAATAGTAACCGAAAGGTTAGATAAGAAGTAGAGGGGACAATGAGTTTGTGTTAATGAGGGATGGAAAAACTGGAAAAGGAGGGTGAGATTGGTTGCACAACTTGAGAATATAGTCAATGTCACTGAATTGTATATGTAGATATTATTAAATTGATATATATTCTGCTGCGTATATTTTCAACAACAATGAAAATAAAATATTTTTTTTAAAAAAGATGAATGATTAGGAAATGGCATTTTAAGTGTATAATAGAAAGAATTTAATGAGAACCCTTTAAAAGAAAAATAAGGGAGCATTGAACTTATGCTAATGATGGTAGAATATTTTGGAAAAGGATAGCAATAATGATGGCATAACATGAAAATGTCATCAATGTCCCTGAGTTGTAAATGTGGAAGGTGTTATGTTGATGAATGTCTTGGTATGTATGTTTGCACCACAATAAAAACAAAAAATAAAAATAAAAATGAATTGAGCTAGGGAAAAAGAAGTATTTTAGGATTACGGTAGCAAATATATGTGTCAAAGGAATTATAACAAAGTCCAAACCTTATTAATTTTATGTGCATTTTGAAATCTAAGCAATGAAATGTAATACTTCTGCAATATTTTAAACTCACAAAAGATTAATAGATCAGCAGGAGGTCTATAGTTCAAAATATTTTACTTAAGAACGAACAGGAATGGTGTATTATTTTAAAAATATTTTTGCCTCTATTAATAGTGAATCAATAATCTTATATCTTATATCTAATTATAGTAGGAACTTTTATAATTAAAATGACACTCTGGAAATGTAAATAAATAAAAGAGAAATGAAGATTTTCTCAGGTGTTGAAACCTCAATCAGCAACACTAATAACAGAATTCAAGATTAAAAAGCAAGAGTTAAGTTCCACTAAGATGGCGGAATAGGCAGAAAGATTGCACAGACCCTCTTCAACAAAGAAAAGGTGAACCAATTAACACAGATACGGAAGATAATCCTGAACCTTGAAGGGAAGGATATAGAAGTGGACTAAACTCCAACTAGCAGAAGAATTTGTATAAAAACACCAAAAAAGGAGATGTATGGAGCTGCAGTCTGGCAGCGACCCTGATGGCACAGACATGTTGGATATTGCTGAGCTGTGGTAGGACCTAAGAATTAACCTAAAAATCAGCCCAGCTAGCCAGGGACTGCACAGAGGACAGCTCTGGTGGCTGGTGAATAAAAGGGGGAGCCACAAAGAGGAAGGCAGGCTGAGCTGTGGACTTATGTCTGTCCAGAGGGTGCAGCCATTTTTGAATGTTTACAAGTGGTTTGACCATTTTGGATATTTAAAACGACAGCAATCTCCCAGATTCCAGGGACTTAAGAACAGGCTCCACTTGCTGGGAAACCCAAGGACATTCCGGACCCAGATGACTAGAAAAATTGTTATTTTTGTCTAACTGAGTGGAAGACAGCAACAGTCTCCATATGACACAACTAAACCCACACCTCCTGCAGCTTCACTTACTGAGTGAGAGCCACCACTTCCTTCACCAACAGGCCAACAATAAACAACCACTAATAAGAGCGTGATTCACCCTTGGCTGCTCTTCACAAACAATTAACAGAGCTCTAAATACAATAACACCATGAAGTCTCGGAGACAACAGACCATCAAAGTTCACACAAAGAAGCAAGATAAAGTTGTAGAAACAAGGGAGCTGGATATAGACCCAGAACACATCCCTGAAGAAGCAGCAGCATTGCAACTCTCTGATAAGGAATTCAAAAGAATTATATTTAGGTATCTTCAAAGGATTGAGAGATGGACCAAGGAAAACACAGACAAAACCCTAGAGGAATTTTGAAAGAAAATACAAGAACAAAATGACAAAATAAATGAAAAATTAGAAATGATTCAAAATCCACACACAGAATTCCAGAAGATTAATACTAAATTTTCAGAAACAGATAAGATGTTGAATGGGCAAAGGAGCTGAAATGAATCAATGGAAGACAGAATTAGGGAGATTGAAGGCAAACACCTGAACACTTCTTTGGAAAGGGATCAATCAGAAAATAGATTAAAACAAAATGAAGAAAGCCTAAGGTTCATGTGGGATACCATCAAAAGGAATAACCTATATGTAATCGGAATTCCAGAACAGGAAGACATAAATAAAACGACAGAGAAAATTGTTGAAGATTTGTTGGAAGAGAATTTACCTGGTATCATGAAAGATGAGAATATATCCATTCAGGAAATCCAATGAACCCCAAACAGGATAGACCCCAAAAGAAAATCACCCAGACATATCATCATCAAACTTACCAAAACCAAAGACAAAGAAAGAATCATGAGAGCAGCATGGGAAAAAACAAAAGTTACCTACAAGGGGCAACCAATAAGACTAAACTTGGATTTCTCAACAGAAACCCTGAAGGCAAGAAGACAATGGAATGGTATATATAAAACCATGAAAGAGAAAATTTTCCAACCAAGAATTAAGTACCCAGCAAAATTTTCCCTTAAATATGATAGTGAAATTAGGACATTTCCAGATGAGCAGAAATTAAGGGAATTTGTTAAAACCAGACCAACCTTACAAAAGATGTTAAAAGACAGAGAAGCAGCAACAGCCAACAGCAACTGACCATTAACACACATGATGATATCATCCAGAAACCAACTCAGCTATGGAAGTATCCAAAGTAAAGAAGCCTACATGATTGTAAACAGGGAACCAGAGATATCAATTGACAAATGAGGAAAACTACAAAACAAAATGAGGGAAAAAACCGTGTCGTTACAGAACTTCTAGATGGTAGGGAAGTCAAGACAACTACAAGATAGAATGGACTGTTGTAAACTTGGGAAGAAAACTATAAATTCCAGGGTAACTTCAAAGAAAAATGATAAAACTTCACATCAAAAAAGAGGACCAGCATAAACATTCAGCAAATACTAAAACAATAGCAATGAAGAAAGTGATAACACGATTTATAAACAAAATGACCTCAGCATAGAAAATTATATGAAACAAAGAAATCGACACCACGAAAAAGTACATAACAAAAATGACAGCAACTAATTCATACTTGCTGATGATTACATATCTGGCAAGGGAATTATCTCTAAGATTTATAGTGGAAGAGTGGATGATTAAACTATGGTACATACATATAATGGAATGTTATGCAGCACTAAAGAATAATGTAGTCTGCAAAACACCTCATAATATGGATGAACTTGGAGGACAGTATGCTGAGTGACATAAGTGAATCACAGAAGGACAAATATAGTACTAGTTTGTTGTTGTGGAGGGTCAAGGAAAGGTTTATATATGGAGGGAAACTTTCTTTGATGGTTGCCAGGGGTGGGAGGGGAGAGGAGGGAACAAACAACATCCATCAATATGCTGTCTACAAGAGACCCACGTTAGAGACAAAGACAAAAACAGACTAAAAATCAAAGGTTGCAAAAAGATATATCAAGCATGGCAACCATAAAAGAGCAGGAGTGGCAATATTAATTTCTGATCAAGTTGACTTTAAGACAAAAACCACCATATGAGACAAGGGAGGACATTACATAATGATTT